GCTCTTCTCGAACTAGGACACCACTTACCGCAATTTTCGATACTGCCAAGTACAAGTAAAGTTTCTCATCTGCCTTTGGAGTATGAAGCGGTGGTAGGCTCGATAGGTATCACTTTAATTCCTCTAACGTGTGTTGACATCCTAGGGTCCAGGCAAAATCGTTCTTCTTTTTTAGCAGAGAGAAAAATCTGTGGCTTCGATCCGACGACATCGAAATGAATCGGCCTAAGGTAGTTATCCGTCCAGTTAGCCTCTGCATGGCTTTTACACTGTCCATAATGGTGATGTCTTCGATGTCCTTGATTTTATCGGGGTTGATCTCGATCCCCCCATTCGATACCATGAAGCCAAGGAACTTGCCCGAACCAACCCCGAAGGCACATTTCTTGGGGTTGAGCTTCATGTTGTATTTCCTTAAAATCTCGAACGTTTCCTGCAAATGAGCCAAATTGTCCTTTGTGCGCAGGGACTTAACTAACATGTCATCAATATAAACTTCCATTGATTTACCTATTTGTTCTTCGAACATCTCATTTACTAGGCGTTGGTAAGTAGATCCTGCATTTTTTAGCCCGAAGGGCATTACATTAACCAAATTCATTTGGATTTGATTGTACCCAGAATAGGCATCGAGAAAAGTAAGGATCTCGTGGACGGTCATGGCATCGATCATGCAATCGATGTTAGGCAGTGGAAAAGAATATTTGGGGCACGCCTTGTTTAAATCCTTATAATCTACACACATTCTAAGTTTGTTTCCTTTTTTAGGGACTACAACTATATTGGCTAACCATTCGGGATATTTCACTTCCCGAATGGACCTTATTTTGAGAAATTTAGTTACCTCGTCCTTTATAAATGTGTGCTTTACCTCGGACTGGGGCCTTCTCTTTTGCTTCACTGGTTTGAACCTAGGGTCCAGGCTTAGCCAATGCGTCGTTATCTCCGGTGGGATCCTTGTCATGTCTAAATGGGACCAAGCAAAACAATCTATGTTATCAATAAGAAATTGAATAAGCTTTTTCCTGAGTTCGGGGGTTAGCCCCGTTCCTAGGTATACCTTTTGCTCGGGCAGGTACTCGATCAATATAACCTGTTCCAGCTCTTCGACCGTTGATTTGGTGGCGTTAGAATCTTCGGGAACAATAAAAGTTCGAGGGGTAAGAAAATCCTCCTCTTCTTCTTCTATGTCCTGCTTCCCTGATTCGGTCGAGGCTGGTGGCTGTGATTGCTATTTGACTTCTTGTTTACCTTTAATGCTTGACCTTTTTGAGGTTAATAGTGTCGATATCGGCATTACCTCATCGATCGTAAACATTTCCTTTGCAGCATGCTGCTCCCCGTATACTGTTTTTACACCGGCCGACGTCGGGAATTTCATCATTTGGTGAAGAGTCGAAGGAACTGCCCTCATATTGTGGATCCAAGGCCTTCCGAGTAGGGTATTGTACCTCATGTCGCCCTCGAGTACGTGGAACTTGGTATCTTGAATGGTTCCAGCCACGTTCACCGGTAGAATAATCTCCCCTTTAGTTGTTTCACTAGCTATATTGAAGCCGATTAAAACCCGAGCTGCGGGCACGATTTGATTTAGTAGGCCGAGCTGCTCCACAACCCTCGATCGGATGATATTCGCCGAGCTACCTGGATCCACTAAAACACGCTTAACTTGAACTTTATTTAATAAGATAGAAATTACCAGAGCGTCATTGTGGGGCTGAGAAATGCCTTCTGTTTCTTCGTCGTTGAATGATAAAGTGCCTTCGGGCACATAATCTCGGGTTCATGTACTGAACCGGAAGGGGCTCCTAATTGGTCGTCCTCGACCCTGATCTTCGATTGATATCGATTGTGCATATCTGCCCAAGTTACAGCTGGATACTCGATCAAATTTTGTTTCAACTGATGTGATGCTATTGAACTCTGCTCATTCAACCCTTGGGTGAAAGCTTGAACGGCCCAATCATCTGTAACCGGTGGCAACTCCATGCGTTCCATTTAAAATCGGGACATGAACTCCCTCATCATTTCATTATCCCTTTGTCTTACCTTGAAAAGGTCTTATTTCCTCGTTGCGACCTTTATGGCTCCGACGTGTACCTTTACGAAAGAATCTGCTAACATGGCAAATGAGTCAATGGAATTTGGTGATAGGTTGTGATACCAAATCATTGCTCCCTTCGAAAGGATTTCTCCAAATTTTTTCAACAGCACATATTCGATTTCATCATCTTCTAAGTCGTTACCCTTGATGGCGCATGTATATGAAGTAATATGCTCGTTGGGATCGGTGGTCCCATTATATTTGGGTATGTCTGGCATACAAAACTTCTTTGGAATAGGCTTCGGAGCCGCACTTAGAGGAAACGGCTTTTGTATAAACTTCTTCGAATCCATCTCTCTCAAGATTGGCGGTGCCCCCGGTATCTGGTCAACTCGAGAGTTGTATGTCTCCACTTTTTTATCGTTGGCTTCGATTCTCCTTTTTCCTAATTCAATTTTTTTGGTGAGCTCCTCGAACATTTTTATTACCGCAGGACCAGTCCCCATTTCGTTACCATTCGACCTTTCCGGTACTGGCTCGGTACGGCGAGTAATTTTCGGCTCGACCCTATTTGGAGTCCTATGTTGATTTTGTAACTGAGCAATAGCGGCCTGCTGAGCCTGAAGCATCTCGAATATCACTTGGAGACTGACTCCTTCGTCTACTCTTCCATGTGTTCCTTGGTCACTAGTTTGGCCTTCTCTGCGTACGCTTCCATCGAGACTTGTGCCTAGGTCCATATTTAGTGCAACGTGCGAACTGACATCGACTGGGTTGGCAGCCGGTGCTTCCCCGAGATTAACCTGTGGCACCTCGACTCATGGAGCAATCACATTTTTGTTTTCACCATAGAATCTGAGGCCATTGTCACCGTGTGTGGATGCGTTTTGTGAGTTTGACATATTTTAACCTGAAAGCAAAGATACTTGACAAGAACAAGCGTAAAATAGTGTGTTTTACCAGAATCAGTACTGAACAATCACTATTATCCTTAGCCCCACGGTGGGCGCTAAACTGTTTCCCCTAAAAATTGAGTAACAATTAAACTTGTATTGTGATTTTAAGGATATGTCATTTAGACTAGCACCAATTGAAAAATAACGAATTAAATAGATAACTTGGACAATAAAATAAAACAAACCGGTCTACAAGCGATGCCTCGACCTCGATTCGAAGTAGCCTCGAGGTTAATTAATAAGAACAATATAGGATAGAACAAACAACGATGAATAGTGATGAACAAAGAAAACAGCGTACATCGTATGTGTATATTCTTATCAGTGAATAATGATGCCTACAAATGATTGGACCTCCTCTTTACATAGTAGAGGAGACCTAATTATGGTATGTCTCTCATTAGAGAAGGAAACCATAAAAACAACTAGTTATCCACTTCTAATTTGGTCCATTCCGAAATTCACGCCATGATCCTCGACCGATCACGGATATCCGTTCCGAGATTCACGCCGTGATCTTCGACCGGTTACTGATATCTCGTCATTCAGTTATTATGCTCCCCTCGAAGTCGGTCAATACTTGATCTCGATTGTTGCTGGCCTCGATCTCAACGTACACTTCGATCTCTAGGCTTGATATCTCATCTTCGAGCCCTGGTCCGATTTATTACGAGGCTACTCCTGATGCAACTCTCTTGTCTCGATCAAATAGCAAAATTGGGTAGGCCCGATTTTGACCCTATACAATGAACTTTCTCCTCCAATTTTTCACTTCGCAAACCTTAACAAGATAAACAATCTCTATTTCATAAAAATTTCTTCAAATTACCTCTTTGAGTCCTAACATCATCCAAAGAGATTTTAAAGTATTGATCACAATCATCTCTTAGGAACTCTTCATCATGTCATTTCTAATAGTGACATTAATTAACGTGATCAATTCAACAAAAAATTCAGAAAATTTAAGAAAAATAATCAGCAAATTTAGACAAAATTTAGTACTCCCTCCATCCATTTTATGTGATAGTGTTTGATTGGATATGAAGTTTAAGAAAAAAAAAATAAAATTTTTTGAAACTTATGCGCTAAAACAAGTCATATTGTGTATTTAAAGTTGAATTATTTTGTAAATATAAAAATATGTTACCTGTTTTTGGAACAAAAAATATAGGAAAGAGCCTCGCATAACATGGACAGAGGGAGTAACATATTCACCTTGTTGGATAGAGCATTTAATTTTGCACCTTCTAATCCCCTCCCAACATTTTTAAGAAAAACCTAATTAAACAAAATTTCAGTAACAAAACTATTTTTTTTTCTTTTTGGTTCAATTCACTAAACCAGATAATCAATTATCCAAATCGAGCAAATGAAAATCAAGAAACTGAACTCACCAAACGAAAATCAAGTCATTAAAAGTTTCTCCTTCATTCTAAATTATGTAGTAGTGCTTGATCAGGCATGAAGTTTGATAAGAAAACAAATAAGAATTTTTGTAACTTATAATCTTAATTGTACGATAAAATATTTCTGACAATAAAAACATACTATTAAGAGTATAACAGAAATTAAAATTAGATTATTTTCAAATACAAAAACATAACTATTTTTTCAGAAATTAATAAGAAAATAATGACATATCAAAGAAAGAGCAGGGCATTAAAGTTGTTCTTCAAGTACATTTTTTATTCACCATCTTCAATCATTTTCGTGTGATAATTTCGACTGAAGATTTAGTTGTGGGACCCCAATATGACGTGGTAGTTAATTCAGATGCCACGTCACTGAATCGGTGCCATTTGAAAGGTTGAAACAGTCGCGGTAAGGAAGAGAAATGCCCGGGGAAAGTGTTCGGAGGTTTCGGTATTTGCCTAACCTCCTTTTTCTGTTGTTCAATTCACACATTCATTCATTCATATTGCATCACATCGACAGGGTTCCTTCTTTTGTTCAGTTTAGAATAGTTAATTAAGTGGGGGAAAAGAGTGAGTGAGTGAGTGATGGGGAACTTGTGGTCGGCCGCCGCAGAACCTCCACCGCGTATGGTGTTAGTTCCGCCGCTCTTCGATTTTCCTCCTCTCTCTGCCCGTACAAGGTCCGGTTCTTTTAACCTCAATACTCACTTCCCACAATTTACTTTGCTTGATGTCATTTCGTCATTATGTTAGCTTTAATTTAAAATAATTACTTCATCTGTTGATTATTATTATCATTTTATTGGAAAGTCGAGCTTCTTTTTCCTTTTTAGTATTTTTCTTGCACGTGTTCTGTTAAAATAGGAAAATTTTGAAAATTCTTTTTGGAGAAAAGATTTGTGCAAAAGAAATTTTGTTTAGATAATTTTTTTTTTGGATACTTTTGATTATTTTAGGAATGAAAGTTGAAACATATATACCTCCAAATCTCTTTTTCATTTAACATGTTTTTGAAAACTAATGTTGAAAAAAGATCGTGAAGAGTGATTTTCAAAAAAAAGGTTCTGTGAATTTCAAAAATTATATTGAATATGACCGATTAACAAACCAACAAAACCTCTTGTTACGCATAAGATCTTGTTGTTGCATCGAAAGAGATAAATGTTAACTAATCTAGCAACCGTTGAACTTGGTAAAATGAAATGGTTGAATAATTGATATATGAGATTATTCAGGAATACACATTGAATGCCATGGGGAGATTGTGTCTGTGATCCATGGATCTCCGATTGGGAAACCGCATCCAAGCTTCGTGGCTAGTCTGTGCTCTTTGGACATTTTTTTTTAAAAAAATAAGAAATTAATATCTGACGCCTGAAAATTAGATGATTAGACCTTGTAATTCCAACTTCTTTTCGGTTCTGAGGAGACAAGACAATTTTATATACTTAAATATAACAAATCTAGCAATCACAATCTCGTTACTTGTTATAATATCTATCGGTAGTATCTTTGCTTTTCATTAAGATGTAGTTATATTGGTCATTTTGCAATGTAGGATGCTGGAATCATCGTATAACATGTTATTTGGGAAACTGGCATTGAGATGCCTTTTTGAGGATTATTTCGAGGAAGCTAGGCACTTTAGCACCAGGATTATGCTTAAGCCAATTGATGATCCACACGTTGATTTGATTGCAACTGTATCCATCTGCAGGCGTATTTAATCTGGTTGTGTTTGTTGTGTAGTATAGTTTATATTCTAGGACTTCTCAGTTCTGCCCACTCTCTTAGTTTTTGTAATGTGGCTGCAGGCATAATTCAGGAAAAAAGTTGGGAAATTTCTTACACCATAATTGACTATGAAGAGCAGCTTCTACTTAAATAGGTTTCTTCTGGTCAATTCAAAGCTTTGTGATTCTTGTCTACAGAGAGACAGATTTGTGAGTTTTAGTTAGTGGGTGTGGAGCACCATAACTTTCATTACTACTTTGTAACAATGTTTCTAACTTAGTACAGATATATGTTTCAAAATTGTTTAACTATATATAATTAAATACGTCGAGCTGTGGCTGCATCCTTCACTGATTGTCAAGGCAGTATGGTATCAAATTCACCTACTTGAGTTATTTATGCACTGTCGTGATCGCACGTCTCAAACTTCATCATTTACTGTAGCGTCTCTTGTGAAAATATAACCTTAGGCCCGGTTTAGTGTTTTCAACAGAGTTGGCTATGGATAAATGGTTAGGTATGTTTCCAGCATTTTCCTTGGCTCAATGACAGGCTAGTTTGACAAGAAAAAAGTTTTTCCTTAGCCTTCTCAGGTTGAAGGCCCACTTGACCACAAACCTGAAGAGAAAATTGTAGGAAATGCACAATTTCGTTGGCAAAGGTATTATGACCTTTTTTTGTCAGATCTTTTGTCTCCTTGCTAATTTATTATCTCCATAATGTGATTCTCACATGCGGTTAACTTCTTGGTGATTGTGTCCCAGTGATGTTGAGGATCCACATACCTTTGTCGACCTTTTCGTATCAAATGATGATCCGTAAGGCGCAATCCTTTCCTTTAGAAGTCTGTTTCCCTTTTAAGTTAAAACAACACTACCATTGTTTTCTTGTTTGCTTCTTTGCTAGGATCCTGCTGATGAGATCATGTGCATTCTACCCTAAATTTGGGTTTGGAGCTTTTGGCATTTTCCCGGTGCTTTTAAAGAATAGGTTAGTTAGATTTTTTTATAGACCGGGACTCACGTGTTTGTCTAGACTTGTGAACTTGCATTTCTGACATGATCATTTTGAATGTCTAGAGTATCTTCAAAAGATTATGGAATCATGGGTTTGAGATATGGCTCATCAAATCTCTCAGTTGGAGCTACTCTTATGCCTTTCTCTTGTACGTGACATGCAATGATAAGCTAATGTTTCTTACTTGAACTTGTGGCTTGCGAAGTTTTCTGGTCCAGACATTTCTTTTAAAGCAGCTGCGAATGGAATTATCTTTTATTTGTTCATATTTTTTTTCATAAATGGACTAATTCTCATGTTGGTGCAGTGGGAGATGATGTTCCCAAAAGCGC